GGGGTCTTGGACCCAGTAGTCTTCATAAATGATCTAGAAGGGATAGGAACCTCATCAAACTTGCAAATGACGCTAAGTTGGAGGAATAGGTATTACTTTGGAAGATAGGCTCAAGATCCAGAAGGATTTGGGCACTGGATCCTATCCCACAAGATGCAGTACAGTGGTGAGAAGAATAAGTTCTTGCACTTAGGCAGGAAAAACCAAATGCAGAGGTACAAAATGGATGGTACCTAGCTCAACAGTATTAACTATGAGAAAGATCTAGGTGTCCTTGTGGACCACTGCTTAAGTATGAGACAGAAATGTATTGCAGTTGCCAAAAAAAGCAGTCCTGGGCTGCATCAACAGAGGGATAGCATCCAGATCACAAGAAGTGATAATGCTGCTTTATACTGCACTAGTGAGGCCACAATTGGATACATGATACAAAAAAGAGGCTGAGACCCTAGAAAATGTGCAAAGAACAATAAAGATAATAATGGATCTTGAGGTTAAATCATATGAAAAACAATTGAGGGAGCTAGGTATGTATAGGGTATACATATATTGTATACAGTAAATTTTATGATCCTAAGGACTATAATGATTGGTCTATGTATGAGAAGGATATCTCAACTAGAAATACCTATCTGCAGTCATTGTTGGATCTTGCAGTTATGATTTGGAATGACCAAAACAAAAACAAAAAAAACAGGAAGACAATAACTTTTAGTAGATATCCTTCCCAAAAGAAATAAAAAATCTCTACTTTGCAAGGTATTTATCTCCAGTTCTGGGGATGAAGAAGTCAAGGTATCCCATAGGGAGTGAAGTGGTGTTTTGTGCATGTCTTCAAGCTGAGATGCTATTATAACTGTTGTGATCCCTTTAAATCTCCCTTTCCTCTAATAGAAGAAGAGAAGCTCGGCTTTATGATTTGTGAGGCTTAGGAAAGTGGGAACAGGCTCTTGTCAAACAAACTAAGATGGAAATGAAAATACCAGTAAGAGCAGATTAGTCGATAGTGTAGCTTCATTTTGCTATCTGTTTTGGCTTCTTACCCTTGTTTTCTGGTCGGTGACTTACCTTGCACAAAGAAACAAACTAACAATAAGCTTTTAGATTCAGACATAATAGTTCATGGTTAAAGGCAAATAAATGATAGGCAAACTATTACAACATTCCATTAAAAAAATGGAGCTGGAAAATAAAACAAAAAGCTTTTCTTGGATAAGTTTAGATAGGCAAATCATAGTTAGACAAGCTACACCATGATTAAACCTTATAGGTTAATGTTCTATTGTCCCAGACTAATTACAGTAGATTAAAGGTAAAGGTTCCCCTCACATATACGTGCTAGTCGTTTCCAGCTCTAGGGGTCGGTGTTCATCTCCATTACAAAGCCGAAGAGCCAGCGCTGTCCAAAGATGTCTCCATGGTCATGTGGCTGGCATGACTTAACGGCAAAGGCATATGGAATGCTGTTACCTTCCCACCAAAGTGGTCCCTATTTTTCTTCTTGCATTTTTACATGCTTTTGAACTGCTAGGTTGGCAGAAGCTGGGACAAGAAACGTGAGCTCACTCTGTTACGTAGTGCTAGGGATTCGTACCTCCGACCTTTCTGATCATCAAGCTCAGTGTCTTAGCCACTGGGCCACCGCGTCCCTTCGCAACCCAGTAGATTAGGTCTGTATAAAAAAGTGTTTTAAATTCTTAGTTCCTTCCACATATAACGCATATGATCTTTCAGTCTGAATTGGCTACTTTGATATTCTGCAAGCATTTAATTAACTCCTATATTTTGAGGAAGAATGGTTTCTATGAATGCTTTTTAAAATGTATTTTAAAGCTGTTGTTAAACACCTGTTAGGATTTGCAGTAGCAAAAAAATTAATGTATGTTGACATATTTTTGTCCCTGAATCAATTGATTGCATACTCAAAAGATCTCTAGACTCTGCCCAATTAGCAGAACATCAGAGAACTGGTAACTTTGCTTCTAGTATATTTCTGTATATTGGGTCAACCATCAGCAAAAAAACATTCTTTCCTAATACAGTATTCTATTTTTAAGAAATGTTAAATAATCCCTGTGTATCAAAGCAAATATCATAACTCTTTATTATCATCAAAGGGAAATTAGGAACATGTATCTTTACAAATTATCTGCTCATTTTGGAAGAAACCCATAGGACTGAAAATATTACACATGATATCCATTTAACCTGATTCTTTCCAGCAAATGCTTTCTGTTTTATTTGCATGCCATTCTCATTACCAAGATTAAAATTATATGAAGAAAGCAAAATGAAACATTAAAATAATTCAAAATATTAATGTAATGCTAAGGATGGCTGAATAACAAATGATACATTTGCTCATAAGCTCAGGATCTGGTAAAATTAATAATGCTTAAGGATCATGCATGGGTGAAGAGCGAATTCTAGGGCAGAAAACTAGAAATAGTTTGTGTAGCTCCAATTTTATTTTTCTAGTGAGTCAGAATCATAGGGGCTTTTTTTAAGTGAGGAGGGAATACTAACAGAGCTTTCACACCTCATTTGCCATATTCACCACTGTGCACTATTCAGCAGAAGACTGCTTCAAGGAGGTCAGTGAGAAGCTATTAGCAGAGTCTTCCCCAGAGATTTCTTTGGTCTTATTGAGTTGGAAGTTAGCATGACAGTACTGCAAATAACTCAGTTGTGGGTTTTTTAACCGCTAGCACAGATTTCCCTATAGTGTTTGTCACTTCAGAAAATTATTCCTAAAAATGATGTCTAGGTTTGACAGGGGCTCTTGTGAGAAATGCTTGGGAAGATATGGATACAGAAAAAATGTGTCATGTTCTCCCCACGCTACTTGTGACTTTATTGTGGTGGGGATGGGGGTAGTAAATCTATAATTTTAATTAGAAAGAATAGGAATAGGAAACAAAATGGCTTTGTAGATAAAGTGATCCATTAAGAGTCAGTCCTCGTTCCTACTTAACCATCTAGGCTGACTTACATGTTAAATCATAGAAATGCTGGCTTGTTGAATAAACCAGCTTGATGAGTTCACACTTAGCCCAAGCCAAACAAATCAAACTGTGACTTAGCTAACCTATACAAAGATGGAATGTGAACAATGGATAAGTAAACCAAAAAAAGATTCTTCAATGTTGTTGTGAATAATTTCACAAAAACATACAATCAGTTTTGGTAATGGTAAAAGGAAAAATTAATCAATATATATTATTATGAAAAGGATAACCAAATCTTCATAGTTGTACATAAATTATTTTATAGTCATTTTTGTAATGCAGTGTAAAATTCTATTTTTGACACCTAAAGAATATGTAAGCCATGAAATGACAGACACAATTATTAGGAGCACATACTCTTTGAAGACAGATATAAGAATTCTTGAGTTCTTTATTTTAAATTACATGAGTAAAAGAGGTATTATGTATAAAATGCTGTGGATTGTATTTATTATTCAAAATTTATTACTGCTATTTTATCGAAGATCTGAAGTAGAGCATGCAGTAGTTAAATTGATGAAATCATACTATCAATTTTAACCAAAATGACAGCCTATGAGATTTCATTTAGACCTTCCTTATCTCCTGAAATAGGTAAAAAAAATATTGTGACTACTCTTGCTGATCTCTACAATCCCAGGTTTAAAAGCAGATGCATATGGAGTAGCCTTTATAACAAGTGGTTCTTTTGAGAATCCTGTCAGTTAACTGGAAGTTTTTCAGGCATTCCTATGTGCCAAAATCAGCAATACAAACAAACTTGTCTGAAGAAATGATTTACCCCACACTACCAGTGTTCTTGAATCAAAGAAGAGATATAAAAATATGGTATAACGCCTCTTTTGTGTGCATAAGTTCTCAGCTGTTTTCTCTAGTTAAAATTATTGGTGCCTTAAGTCACATATACCAGTGCCTTCCTTAGTTCCTGTAAGAAGAAGTGATAACAGCAGTATGAATGGAACGTAATATGTATGCTATGATACAACAGGTATGGAGCTAGGAATCCATGTCAGTTCCTCTCCAGCCTCTTTTATTGTGCCCTATCATAAAGAATACAATGCAGAAATAATGGGGGAAATATGTTCTAGAGCATAAAGCTATCATAATAGATAATATTATAATAGATAATATTAATAGGCTAGGTGGTCAGATAATATGACTTCCTTTAAGACATCTTCCTGTGATCCTATATGAACTCTAACTCTGAGGGAATATAGGTAATCCTTGACTTACAACTGGTCACTTAGCAACCATTCATAGTTATGACATGAACCTCCCATGCTCATTTCAGCCTTTTTTAGCTAGAATCCAGCAAAAAATCACCCATAGGAATACAGTGATTTGCTTATTGACTATAGTGTTTGTTTAACGAATGGATAAACAAGATGAATACAAAGATTGAGAAGAAACTTGACTTAGTTCTTATATGTGATAACAACAGCAAGATTTAAGATATGCACATAGATGGAAAGATACTGCGAACTCCTACAGCAGAAGAATGGATTATGAAATTAATGGAACTGGCTGAGAAAGCAAAATCCATGACCTAGTAACAAAAATGCCTGCATGTTCACTTAAATATTGTAGAGTTTGCCCAAGAACTACTGCAAAAAAAATCGTAAAATTGGTTATGCAGTTGCCTTGACTTGTGACTTATGATGAAAATTCCAGGGTCCATTATAGTCATAAGTTGAGGACTACATGTATACATCATGTAGGGTAACAATAGCATGTAATTTTTACCTTTTTGCTACACTATAGCTTTAAATTTTGTGTCTAAAGTCCAATGGAAATGGTTTTCTGCAGAAAGAATTTTGAAAACTATGAAAAAATAGTACAAAAAATTGTAGTTGATGTGAAAAGCCAATTATATGCATAAGCATTATATTTTGATCCATTTCTGATTCAAGAGTAAACACTTTAAAAATATTACTTATATTGATTTCATTGTTATAATTTGAATAAATATCAACAAAATAATGTGTGTTTTAGATTGCAGGCATATATAATTCACCCTATCGAAAGGAACCTGATCCTTGGGAAATGCAGTTAAGGAAAGCTAAACCTTTGAGGCACAAAAAGAAGATTGAGAAAAATGCTATGGATTTTCCAATTTATGCTGATTCCTTTGGTTTACAAACAATGCCAACTCTTCCTCCAATTCAAAGACAAAAACCACAGGTAATATGATTAATGACTTTTAGGTACCCCTTGTTATTAACAGCTGACTTCTTTCTAAAGTTGCTGTAGGATGATCCTTCCAAAGAACAATAAATTACTTATCGAAGATAATATGTGTAGCTCAGGGTTGAACTGTGGGATACTTGGTGCTCTCTGAGCTTGGTTGTTTTCTTGCAGATATTTCATTACCAAACTACATAACATCATCAGATGCAGATGGAGCATTGAATTCCTTTATCCCTTTTTCTTGAGTCCCAATTTCTATTTATACTGATTGTCACATTTGTAGGACTCCTATTTGTGAGTGAGCAAATCTTCCTGCATCTTGATTTTCTTGGGTCTCTCTTCTTTCAGTAATTAACCATCCAGAGTTGCATTTTTCTGATGATCAGGATATCAACAAGACCACTCTGTTATATTTCTGTATTTAGTCTTAATATAGGAGGTAGTTAGAATTCAAGAAGACCCATTGTGGAGGAATCCAATCCCTTGCTGGTTTTCCCGATTGCTTTTCAACGATTATTCCTCTAGCTTTTTAATTTTGATTCCTCTCCACAAAGGTTTTCAAATTTGGGGAAAGTGTAAATGGTATCACGGAGACATGGAAACAATTAAATTAAATGAGTAGAATATTTGGAAAGCCCAACACTTTGTAATTTGTTCCTATTTATTTCCCGTTTTTATCCCCCCCCCCCCCCGATTGTTTTGAACTGATGACCTTTTTTACTAAAATAGCCATAATCCTTTTATAATAATACTCAAGGCAAGGGGCCTTAGCAGGAATATCAAAATGTAGGAAACAATTTATCCTGATAAGACTAGGATGCTCATGTGTTATGTGTTTACATGGAACATGTTTCACATTTAAAAATTGGTTTCAGTATTTTTTGGTTAAATATATTGTTAGTACACTTTATATCAGCAGTCGCCAACCAGTGGGCTGCGAGAAAATTTTGGTGGGCCGCAGAGATATCTCACCCCCAGAGCACCCCCCCAAAGCAATTAATCCAGGCTGCACAGAAACACAAGGCTGCGCTGCCCACATGGCCCACGGGAACCCTCCCCACCCACTCACTCTTTACCCAGTAAACTTGCCTGCTAAATTTCTGTTTTTCTTTTTTCCAACCATCATCTGTTCTGCTGTGCCGGGAGATTTAGATTAGCTAGGCAGCAGGAAATGGTTGGATTTCTTGCTTTCTAGCTAGTCTTTAGATCTTCGGCTCAGCACAGCCAAACCTCCCTTAGGACTGATGGTTTGCTTGCAAGCAAATTCAGTGCAGACTCACGGCAAGCAAATTTGAGAGACTGAGCTAGCCGATGGCAGATAGATAGATCACTGAATGATTCTGTGAGCAACTCAATCTGCCTGCCTGCTTTGCCTGATTTTGGGTAAAAGTTGCTCTTTTTTTAAATACAAAAATTCAATATTTACATGCATGGTGTGTTGTGAGTTAATTTTGTGAGTTTGCTTGCAAGCAAATTTTATGTGATAGACTGAGCTAGCCAATGGCAGATAGATAGATCTCTGAATGAATCTGTGATTCTGTGAGCAACTCAATCTGCCTGCTTTGCCTGATTTTGGGTAAAAGTTGCTCTTTTTTTATAAAAAATTCAATATTTATATAAATATTTATAATATTTACATACAAGCCATGCCCAGCCAGTCACATGACCACCAAGCCACACCCACAAATTAGGCCACACCCACAGAACCGGTTAGTGGTCCCTGGGATCTAAAATTATGAGTTTGGTGGTCCCTGAGGTCCAAAAGGTTGGCGACCCCTGCTTTATATGATTTTCCACTAGTCTTATTTGCAGCCTCAGGTAAAAAAAAAAGTGATAAATTTATCTATCTTGCTGAGAATGTAATCTTTTTACTCGATTTACTTTATTAAATTTTCCACAAATAAAAAAATAAATTTAAGAAATTTACAAAGTCAACAGGAATATACATTTGGGAGGTATAACTTTGTTAAGTCTACATTATGTAGGAATCTTAAGTATTTTAAAAGCCAAAAAGAAAATGCCACTATTTAGAATAGGAGTATAAAATCTCAAGTCACTAAAAACTTGTTGCGGTGTTCAATGGTCATTTAAAATCAATTAAGCTATCCCTTAGGGTGGATGGAGTATCCTGATTATAATTGACCAATGCAAAACCACAAATTGTTATGTTGATCTGATATTTCTCTTGTTTTAGGCTATTTTGTAATCTTTTCTCCCCCTTAGTCTAGACACCAATAAACTTAAAGCCTTTTAGAACAAAGCCAGAAGAGTTTTGTTTATTTTCTGGTATCTTGAAGGGGGAATTTGCGATATAATACTTTAATCCTTTCAGTGTCCTGGGATGTATGCTGTGGAGTAAATGTTCAAAGTGCTGTGTGTAGATTTAACTGTGTGACTCTTATTGATGTTAATGGGAGTCACACGGCTAAATCCATGGACAACACAGTTTAGAGGTATATTTCTGAGAAAGGATGTTGGTCTGAGCTGATGAAACAGCTGGGAAAGAAAATCCAGCAGAACGCGCTGTTTTGAAAATAGCTGGGTGATGTTAAAATGGGGATTTATAATTACTAACCATGCTTATGGCTTAGTATTTTGTGACAGCAGTTATTTGACATTAACTGTATTTTCCATATTAGCCACCGTACGTTATGATAGCAAAAAAGTGCTCAAGGAGAGTGTTAAAGTATGAGCTGCATTTTTTTCAAGTGTTTAAGGAATAAATGTTAACTCATCTTTAGATCTCACTTAAGGAAAGTGACATTTAGTTTCTATAGATAATATTTATACTGCTGAAGGGTATGTTCTATCTGATATATGATTTTTAGTTCAGAAATAAACACAATTACAAACTGTTGTCTTACACAGTGGTGTTTAAACACTTGTGAACTCTTCCGAATTTTCAGTATTTCCACATAAATACGACCTAAATGTGATTTATTCTCCAAATAGGTCCTAAAACTAAAAAAAGAGAACCCAATTAAACAAATGAGTTAAAATTTATTGAGGAAAATGATCCAAAGCTATGTATCTGTCTCTCATGCACTGCTGTAGCTTGCTAGTCAGATCCTCCTTTTGGGGAAATTGGGTATGTTTGTTTATTTTGTTATCCCACCCTTATTATTTTTACAAATAACTCAGGAGAGAAAACTTATCCCACACAGTTTCCTCCTCTTATTTTCCCCACAACAGCAACTCTGTGAGGAGTTTGCCTGAGAGAGAATGACTGGCTCAAGGTCACCCAGCTAGCTTTCATGGCAAAGACAGGACTAGAACACCAGGTCTCCCGGTTTCTAACCTGGTGCTTTAACCACTAGACCAAAGTCACTAGGCCACCATACTAAAGAAATCTGATCTCAAACAATTATGCCAGACATAAGACAGGGTATATCAACTCTCTTACAGTAAACATGAGTAATTTAGGACGCCATACTCAGAAATAAATGAGTAAGTACATTGAAATCTTACTCTAAGGCATGGCGTCAAACTGGTTCGTGCCATGGGCCGGATCGTGATGTATCATGATTTTGTTTTTTGCTTTTGTGGAGCCTGGGTGGGCGTGGCCTGTGCGTGACAATATCTGGCTTGGCGAAATGATGTATTGCTACTGATGCAAACATCAGTTGAATTAACATCAGGTCTGAATGCCTAATATTGTTTTGAGGAAGTATTTAAGAACAATTATAGTAAAACCGGGATCCTAATTTTTGTCAAGTCACTCAGGCTGCATTCCTGAATGTTAAATCAGACAGTATAGAATGTTAGATCAGACAGTAGAGCTAATTTAAATATTTAAGTATTTAAACAATGGTTTTTCTTAACTTCATCAAGGTAAATCCAAGGCATATCAAAATTTTATGGTTCAAACTGTATACAAATCAGTGGCCAGCAATACAATCCAGTTAGTTTGCTAGAAGGGCACAACAATCCAGCACTAAAATTATATTTGTCTAAGATAGGGGTCAACAACCTTTCAGACATCAGGGACCACTAAATTCATAATTTTAAATCCCATGGACCACTAATGTGAATTTTTTTAAAGGTAAATGGTATTTAGTGCAATATACGAATGCAAATAATTTTTCTGCAGACCACCAACATTTTCTTATGGTTGGTGACCACTGGTCTAAGATACACAACTCTTGCTTGGAATTCAGTTAGGAACATATTGCTGCTTTATCTCTGTGGAAAGAGTTTGATCTATGTAAATTCTTAAGGACTTAATTTCTACTGGCCCATATGTCCCTAACATGATAATAATTTCCCTATACTGTATGTTGAAGTACTCAGACAATTCTGATTTATTTTAAGTACAGTTACTCTTGTCAAACCAATATGATTCAGTTTCCTTCAATGCAGCACAATTTTGTTAAATTGTTTGTAAAACTAAAACTTGATTGCCCCAATGACACAGTTATCATTTTATGTTTGTACAGATGGGCCTCAGGTTATGACTGCTCTTTTAGTCACTGTTCAAACTTGTCATGGCATTGAATAACAGGGACTTATGACTCAGGGTAGCCATTGAGGCATCCCCTCAATTATGTGATTGTAACCTGGACACTGGAGTCCTGGCTCATGATTACGATGTTGCAGCAAATTGCAATAATCTGGTCACAACTTCCAACGTATTCTGCCAGGTTCCCACAAGCAAAGGCAATGGGAAAGCCAGCAGGAAGTTGAAAGTCAGGTCCTCATTTAACAATGGCAAGTAGGACTCCTAAAATTGATGTCACAGTGGTTCCAATGTCCCACAGTCACATGGTCGCCATTTGTGACCTACCCTGCCAGTTTCCTACAAATAAAGCCAATGGGAAACTGACAATGAAGTCACAAGTTGCTCCTGTAAGTCACTTCCAATGGTTTTTCTCCTGAGGAATCACCACAATAGAGCAGGGAGTATCAAACTTATTGCCTGCGAGCCAGATGTGTCATGCACAGGGCACACCCACACCAGCTCTGTGAAGGGGAAAAACATCATGTAACATCACATG